TGTAATATGGAGGATAATCAATGGCTAAGTGGCTATCAGTCTTACCAGTTTTCTTATATAGGCTCTACATATCAGTCTGTGGTTATTTATAAATAATTTAATTATTATTGTTAGTAAAGTAGTGAGTAAGAAATTAGTAGTAGTCTAGTAGTTAGTTATTATTATCACAATCATGAATCAAGTACTACATTCATATCATCATATATCAAAGATACTGATACTTATTAATTTAATTAACTATTTAACTAACTAGTTAGTCTCAGTTTCTTACTAATTTTCACAATAAAATTGTCTAGCCTAGCTCACTAACCACTTATAGAATAAAAGTTAAAAAGTCTTACTTAATAGAATTAGAGTAGAAGTTATAAAATATTAGTCTTGTCTTGAATAAAGTATTTTAAAAAGGATCAAATAAAATTAAATCAATCAGTTCTGTTATTATTATTATTTTTTTGACTTTTCTAAAAGTAGGATCTCAAGAAACAAATGATATTGATGGTGTTGTCTCCCAACCTACTTCTTAATGAACTGCATGTATATCCCTCCCTATATAAGGCCTTTTCTGCCTCTACACTAGTTGGTTTCAGTGTTATCAAATAATGATAAATCAAAGATAAGTTTTCACCTCTGACTTCCCCACTTTCATAAACAGCCATTTCCTTTTTTAATAACTTATCATAATCCTTCTCAGTACTAATTTCTTTCCGTTTCATGAAGTTTTCTTTCTCACGCTTTAGTTGCATCTCTAATTCTTGTTCCAATGTGAAATTCAGGAAATCTGAGTTATCTGGATCATTGTTTTCCACCTCCGTAATATCCTCTGCCATTGCTGCTGGTTCCACTAAATATGTATTTACACGATTCAGCATATTTATCATTACATTTTTTTCGGCATGTGAAACATAAAGCTTTCTAACTTTTTGGTCATACTTCTTCGGGTTCTGTATGTAAATCAGCATCCCTGTGACCTCGGTAAGACGCCGTTCTCTGATTATTTTGCGGAGTGCCTCGGAAAGGTTGGCACTCAAGATTGTGTTCTGGCTTTTTAGTTTGTCTAAGACAAATTTCAGGGTTGTGTCAGCAGTTATCAAACTCGACTCTTATGCAGAGAGATTCTTCGGCCAGTTTAAACTGCGATTGTTCCGTCACGTCTTTCATTGACGTTACAACCGACCGTAAATTAGAATTATGCACCAGGACTAGGATAGGAGTTACTTATTTTATTTAGGGTGAAGGCACTTTATTTAGCGAGAGCGGAAAGTCAACTGGCAATTAGATTAGCAGAGGTAAAAGGGCGGGCGGTGCGGTGTAGAGAGGGGATATAGCACGTGCCGCACTGAACGGCAACGTCGCTCTCGCCACCGAGCGATAGTGCACGTAGCAAAGCGGCAAGGCCGACAATGTGAAGTTTTGCGCCATTATTTAGAAAGTTAACTGTGTATTTGCGGATCCGCAGCGCTGGATCCAGCAACCTGGTGCTAAATCCAACAGGCCGAAAAATGTGCTGGATCCAGCTGGATTGCTGGATGAGGGATCCAGCAATTGCAATCCCTAGTGCCAAGCTACTGAAAAACCGATTATATAGAGAAAGCAATATNTTTATCAATTTAAAGTAAAATATATCAAATTAAATAATATAATATAATATAAAATTTCATTAAATCAATTTTATTTTTAGAACTTTATCAAAATACATATCGTGGTTGCAGTACTTATCCTGGTTTCGATATTCTAACGAAGCGTTAATGGTAGTGCAATGGGAAAATGTTCATAACATTAGTAAGTATTTATTGTATAATACCTTAAAATTACGTATAAATTATTTAAAAAAAATACGAAATGTCCATTTAGAGCCATCATTTGTTTGTTTTCTGTAACTAAATGGAATATGGCGTTAAATTGAGGAGTACGAAACAATCAAAATTATAGATATTGTCTGTACATTAGAGTTCGAAAGTATCTGAACTAGTGATAAATGTTATTTACAATGCATACTGTACAATTAAGGGTTTTCAGATACGGAGTTCGTGAGTATTTGTTTGTTCTCTTTATACAAGAAATCTATCAGTTGATATCTTATTAATTTATAGGGTAAGAACACTACAGACCCTCTAAGTTTTCTCCTGGCCGGTAGAAAAATCCCTACTACCACTACCATTGATACTTAACAAACATTCTTCAACAATACAGCATAAGTCAAGTAGAATTTTGTATTCTGGCCATCAATTTCCATTAGAAATTTATGCGATTCTAATTGTAAACTTGATCTCGGCCGTATTCAAATGTCTAGTATAGTTTTAGAATCATTTTTATCTCATGAGAAATTCGCTAGCTCTTCTTCACAAATATATGTAATAAATTGTATTTGAAGCTTTTAAATTAAGGGATATTTATAAAAATTTATGCACACGATTCATTAGATAGAAATTTTTTAAATGTCTATACGTTATTTCATAATAATTTAGTTATAAAATTCTTTCATTTTTAGCTTGTTCCTCAAGGAAAGATATTCCTTGTGTTAGAGAAGGTGTCGAAGTAATTGAAGAACTTGGTTTCAGTAGAGTGAGTAACGTTTTACGTTGATAAATACATGTCGTATTGTATCGACTTGTCCGATCCCCTTTATCTCTCCATCCCCTCGACCTTTAACCACAAAAATTTAATAGCATCAATGACTCTAATAAAGAAATCTCCCCGAAAAATTTCAGAAATTTTCGACAAATAACACAGGAGTTATTAAGCTTAGAATGGGAGTGAACAAAATCGTGCCCTCTCTCACACACACGTACACGCAAACTTTAATAGAGGAATGTGTCCATAAGTTCGAAGCAATACGGCATCAGTCGAATGAGTTATATTTAAGCTATTGTGTTTTATTAATACATAATTTAAAATATTTACAGGACGAAAATGAATGGAACTTTATCTGCCTGTTTATATTATATATTGCTTTTCATTTGATGGGATTAATTGCTTTAATTTTGAGATCTAAAAAGAAATAATAATCATGAATGTTTGTAGCTAATATATTTTTACATTTGTTAATTAGTACAAAGTTTAATAAATTTATTTAGTTTAAATATAATTGTGTTCCAAATTAATTATAAATTAAGCAAGTAAGATCGCTTTAACTCGTACTTCACTACATCTCTGCTCAATTAGTATTGTTCAGTTTGCTGAACGTGGTGAATGATTCTGAGTAAATGAGAAAGAATATGACACGAACTTAATATATTTTATATCTTACACAAGTTTACATATCACAAAGAATTCAAATATACAGTACAAAATGTGTACAAACGTTGATAGAACTAAAGCTGTGTTATTACAGTTACGTGTTTTTATCTCGTTCATTGTGTTAACATGTTAAACATTTCAAACATAGCATCAAAGGTTTCATTTCTCTTGAATTTAATGTTACAAATCTTCTGTTTTTCACTTGCAATTTCCATTAACGTGGAAGAAATGAACAGAGTGCACTTATCACCTATGGAAATTAAATAAACTTCAAGATTATTATTGTTATTATTATTGAAAGTTACAGTAATGTTAGTGAGATAGAAATAGAGAAAATAATCAAAAATAAAATACACGTGTTATATTTTTACTTTATGAAAACAAAGAGGGTCTTTTAACATGCCCAACGATGGCAAAGATTGGAACTATCGTTGTGTGTTTTGCTGTACGTTCATCAATCAAATCGTTATCCTTTGAGTTGCGTGGAGAAATAACTCAGTAATTTCAATGCGTTAATTAGATTTGAAAATGTCGAAAGATTGGCACATAATATTTTAGGAGTAACGATTGAATCAGATCATTCTGTCATAGAGGCAGAATAGAATGCCACTTGGAAAGTCCTATTTCTTTCCTTTAATTGAAACAAATAATAACGTGACATAAATATTAATTATTAGAACGCAGGAAAGAGTAATTCTTTTATCCACTGGAAGTATCAGTACCCAATTGCTGCATATACAACCTTCTATAATTAGCATTAATGCTAAATTAAAGACACTTAGAATGCAGAATATTTCGAGAAAATTAATGTATAAAGAATAAAGTGTGCATCGTCTGTTGTTTAATTTATTTGTCTGGATCATTGTACAGTACAAACATGAAATGTTTACAAACATTTATTTTGTAGAATTTGTTTTATGTAATACTAGCATTATTATAATTGGTTATAATAATGCGGGTATTATATACGACCCCCACAATGAAAAGGCCAGGTGATGAGAGATGGGCCTGACATATCGGATACAGACAACACTCGAATATTTTTTGGAAATTTCCGAATTCTATATATTTAAAATGTAAACATTTCAATTAATTACATATGTAATTACATTGCATAAATGGGGTGCTGTTGCCTCCTGCACACTTGCCTAAATCCTTCCCCGTAGGACCACGAAAGGTTTGCCGTTTGCAATACGAGACGGAGCCAGATAAAGTATCTTGCATGGACACTTGACACTTCTTAACCATCACACAAAAAATTCATAATTAAAGTTCAATTAGAGATTATTTACTTTTATTCTACACTTAAAGAAGTATTTGGTATAATTAAGTGCATTAATGAAACAGAAGAATATAAGATAGATAATGCGTATTATATATAATTAGATATAAAATATTCCATATATTTGTTTTGTATGATGCATATATCTCACGCTTAGTTAAATATTTGCTTAGTTAAGTGCAAAACATTGTCTTTGTATTCTGAATTTCATGTCTTCCAGGCGATTTCGTACGAAGTTACGGCAAAAGTACCATGGTAGACCAAGAGTAAAAACATAAACATGTCACGAACCTTGCCTTCTTCTCTATCTGATATATAATATTACAATCAGTTTGGTCACAATATGATAAACCAAGTGTGATACATCTTAAGTGAGATGCCCCACTTGCTTACTATTCTTCTGTAATAAATATTCTGCTCTCACTAGCGATCTGTTATAATTGAGAGGTTTGTACAGCAATGTAGTGTAATTAATTCTAGCAAATTATAACACTGGTACCTCAGACGTTTTCAAACGTTCTCAAAAGTTCTGTGTCTCAAACTTTACGATTTTAATTGCCAAATTGACTTATTTGTTAAAGAGATCCTTCGGCTGGCGATTGATTAATTATCGAAAAGAGTTATCGTTTCCCGGGATGAGAACCCAAGGAATGGATTTTGGGAAGCGAGTGTTCAGGATTTATCATTACGTTATTTATAACGTATACGCATGGTATGTAAATGAGTGAATGCGACTATTCTATTATTGTTCAAATTTGTGTTAGTTGGTTAGTTATTGTGCGCTAGAAGGGTGGTATTAATTCTGTGCGTGTTTTAAATTATTGTGTAAAATCATCAGTTTGACAGATTAATACCTCTAAATATCAAAACGCTTTCCTTTTATTTTATAGATGCATTCTAGGCTTTCCACTAGGTGAACAATATTTTTATCACACACACCGACAATATAACCGAATCGTATTCATTATATGATTGAATTTTATGTGAATGGCGAATTTCACTTTGTCGGTTCTCTGCTACATTCTCATTTTATAGATGACATTCGGCAATTTTAATGTTCTCTGTAATTAATTCACAAGAAATGTCCATTGTTTTTTCATATATTTGTTCAGGATGGTTGTTTGCTTATAGATTTGATGAATATTAATATAAGTTTTCACTTATTATAGTGTATGAGCAGTATAGAAATTTGTACAGTATTTACTTCTGTATTTAAGACAGCCTATGTATAACCACTGTCTAGATTTCACGAGGAATCAAAGAATAATGTTTTGCTCTGTAAAAAATGCCCTTTGCATCGTCGGAATATTCATGCTTTTCATCGATGTTGTCTTTGCTCCATCAAAAGCTACTATTTTCTTGAAGACTTGCAGGGCAAAGACCCGCAAATGGCTTGTTTTTTTGTAAGTTATTCTTCAAGTTTGGGCCTGAAATCGAAATAGAAAGGAACTGCTTTTTCCTATTTTGAGTCATCCTTCTGAAACATCTAGCTTTGGCAATGGGCGATGTCGTAAGGCACTACCGGTTTGGTATTTCATGATTGCTATTGACTTGGCCCAAGAGTTAGCTTTTTCCCATCAAAATCCTGTGATCTGACACGGAATGAAAAGAAGAATCACTGGGTTCCCAATGTTTTTCCGACTCAACACTTTCACGTCATCTTGTGCTCCGCCCTTTTACACTGAATCGTAAGACTCGATTGTCCCTGGAATAGGAGAGACAGATTTGTCTGCAACTGCGGGAGCTGGTTCAGAACAATATTGACAATGATTTCTGGTGGAGTTTGTTGTGGCACAGAAAAACGTTACAAATGCAAGTAGATACTCTATTCATCAATTATAAACGTTGTGTTACTAATTCTATGCAATCAGTCGGCCTATTATTTAGTTTTTCACGCAGAATTTTCACGTTCCTATTATCCGTATGCATATAATATAAGCTATACTCCAGACGTTAACTTAGATAAATGAATAATATATAATGTATATTCAACAGTAATGATTCAAGGACCGTGGTTTGTGATTATTTACATTCGCAAATTAGTTATGCTATAATGAATTTTGTTCGATGTACTGATTATTCAACACATTACATAATAATTGTTAAGTTATGGCAATGCAACAATTAGGCGCTCTTCCTAGAAGAAATGCCTTCCGGGAGGTCTTTTTGAAAGGTAAATGGCCTGTATTAAGGCTACAAACGTGAAGAAAACCCGGAAAACTCCACGTGGCTATCCCGTCCAGACGAGGGGCGAACCCACGACCGAATTCCCAGTTTTTAGGGAACGGAACCGCTTTGCAATTGGAAGACCTCTGCAGATGTGACAAATGATAGGTTTAATCACCAAATAATCACCGAAATTTAACATCATAACGCTCCTTATACACAAGCTACCACGCCAAGTATTGTTCCTTAATCGTAATTCACCCCGAGAAATTAAAAATAAACAATTAAATAAATAAAAAAAACAACACGTTGTCATGTAAATTTTCAAAGTTGAATTACTATAACACATTGTTATCCGGCTGCAGAATAGTCAATTAAAGAGGGTGGGAAATACTAATTCACAACAATTTCCCCAAAATTAAGTCATAAGTAAACCACTGTTTATATTTTAATATACTTTATTTAAATCAATTTTTAAAAAATTAATAAAATAATTTACACTATCGAATACGCTTTTTTACAGTAACTACTACATTTTTTCTGTGTTGACTTTTATAACTTTTTAACCAGTTTACAATATCATTGGCCCGCTTGATGACTACATAAAAGGTTACCGAGTGCATCGAAACTAATAATAAACTATACGGATGATCCCAGCTTAGTTCTGTACTAGGAGGGAAATATGTTATCCTATAAATGAAAAATTCATATTATAGACACACACAGAATATTAATTAATAAATCATTCAAAATACTACTTACAATATCAATTCTGATAATGCTAAATAGAAGAGCGAAAATGAAAAGAAGAAGAATAGAACGACCATTGATACTTTACGATGAGGTACAGATTGAAAATTTCTAGCAAATGACGGGAAATAATACAATACAATTAAGCATACGGAGATCTGCAAGTAATCATAACTTATTTATTAAATTATCAGTACGTTAAAAATCATAATTAAAGTATAATTATTGAAGACCTTACCATATTAGGTACTATACCAAAGAAACGTGCAATGAGAAATATTAAAAAAATTAAATATAATTTTAAAAATTCTTTCCTATAAATCATTTTATATACAGTAATATAATATTAAAAGTTAAAAAATAAAGATTTAGAAAGAACTTACTTCATGCATTTATAATATTCCCTTTCACCCTCATAAAATNGCAGAATTTTCACGTTCCTATTATCCGTATGCATATAATATAAGCTATACTCCAGACGTTAACTTAGATAAATGAATAATATATAATGTATATTCAACAGTAATGATCCAAGGACCGTGGATTGTGATTATTTACATTCGCAAATTAGTTATGCTATAATGAATTTTGTTCGATGTACTGATTATTCAACACATTACATAATAATTGTTAAGTTATGGCAATGCAACAATTAGGCGCTCTTCCTAGAAGAAATGCCTTCCGGGAGGTCTTTTTGAAAGGTAAATGGCCTGTATTAAGGCTACAAACGTGAAGAAAACCCGGAAAACTCCACGTGGCTATCCCGTCCAGACGAGGGGCGAACCCACGACCGAATTCCCAGTTTTTAGGGAACGGAACCGCTTTGCAATTGGAAGACCTCTGCAGATGTGACAAATGATAGGTTTAATCACCAAATAATCACCGAAATTTAACATCATAACGCTCCTTATACACAAGCTACCACGCCAAGTATTGTTCCTTAATCGTAATTCACCCCGAGAAATTAAAAATAAACAATTAAATAAATAAAAAAAACAACACGTTGTCACGTAAATTTTCAAAGTTGAATTACTATAACACATTGTTATCCGGCTGCAGAATAGTCAATTAAAGAGGGTGGGAAATACTAATTCACAACAATTTCCCCAAAATTAAGTCATAAAGTGAACCACTGTTTATATTTTAATATACTTTATTTAAATCAATTTTTAAAAAATTAATAAAATAATTTACACTATCGAATACGCTTTTTTACAGTAACTACTACATTTTTTCTGTGTTGACTTTTATAACTTTTTAACCAGTTTACAATATCATTGGCCCGCTTGATGACTACATAAAAGGTTACCGAGTGCATCGAAACTAATAATAAACTATACGGATGATCCCAGGTTAGTTCTGTACTAGGAGGGAAATATGTTATCCTATAAATGAAAAATTCATATTATAGACACACACAGAATATTAATTAATAATTCAAAATACTACTTACAATATCAATTCTGATAATGCTAAATAGAAGAGCGAAAATGAAAAGAAGAAGAATAGAACGAGCAGTGATACTTTACGATGAGGTACAGATTGAAAATTTCTAGCAAATGACGGGAAATAATACAATACAATTAAGCATACGGAGAGCTGCAAGTAATCATAACTTATTTATTAAATTATCATTACGTTATAAATCATAATTAAAGTATAATTATTGAAGACCTTACCATATTAGGGACTATACCAAAGAAACGTGCAATGAGAAATATTAAAAAAATTAAATACACTTTTAAAAATTCTTTCCTATAAATCATTTTATATACAGTAATATAATATTAAAAGTTAAAAAATAAATATTTAGAAAAAACTTACTTCATGCATTTATAATATTCCCTTTCCCCTATTCGTTAATGATTGAGACAACGATATGCAAATTAGAATTTTATATTCTGATTTATTTTAATTGTGTTTTAAAATTAATTTTAATAAAAATTAATAAAATTTATTTTAAACAATTAAAATTTAATCATAAATCAAATTTTTTTATGAATAAATATTTTACAAACTTTTTATAATATATTATGGAAAAAAGCGGCAGTTTTTTTTATTTACCCAATTTAAAAATTTTTAAATCCTTTGCATTAAAAGATATACGTACAAATTACAAAATAATGAACATTAAAAATTACAAAGACACTTCCAGAAAACATTACCAATTTTCACAATGCAAAATTCATCAAAAACCAGGTTCCAAGCTACTGAAAAACCGATTATATAGAGAAAGTAATATAAAAACACACGGTAAAAAATTTATGCAATAACAATAAAATCAAAGGTTGTTTGCTTACAGCATTTCTGAATCCATTCTGATACTTTTTAACTTGTACACTTTGTAATTTATGACTATATTAACTCTGTATTTCACATACCAATTCGTTATTCATTTTATATCTTCTGATCACGGCAATATAAAACGTTTAATAAATAAAATATTACACCTGAAAGAAAGTCGAACTCTTTCCATTTAATTAACACATCAGTTTACGAGACTTATTATTATTTGTATCAATATCCATAAATTAAAAAATAGAAAAAAATAAAGAAAATCTGTAAATGCCTGTAAAAATGACAAATAAGTGACAAACCCACAATTATGTGCTGCTAATAAATCATAAAATATACTTCAGTATAATATAAATATTTCGTGTGTGTTGCATTAGACATATAAAATATTAGTATATCAAAAATATATTAAATATTTTATATTATGAAGTAAAATAACAAAAAAACAATTCCACATGCAAGTAATAGATAAAATCCTACTATCCGTCGGACCACATTACAGCGCTCCGACACTCCAAATGTTGTCGCAGTCAAGGTATGTATATATCTGTCGTTATTTGGACCCTCCTCTGACCCGTCGGACCGCATTACAGCGCTCCGACACTCCAAATGTTGTCGCAGTCAAGGTATGTATATATCTGTCGTTATTTGTTTCCTTCTCTAACTCGTCGCCGATCGTTATCGATATTGATCAATGTGTATTTGTATATTATTACGACTAGGTAATTTATTTTAAGTATAGTTTATATGTAATTGAATTGTATTGTTGAATTTTTTTTTATATGCGGTCCTTATGCCAAAGTGGTATTTTTGATCCGTAGCAACTGACTTAGCTGCTGCTTATCAAAAATGTGTAATGTGTTTGTGATAAAATATGAAATTATGATTATATATTTTATTNCGCAAAAAAAATAACTAAAATTAATTTTTATTCTATTTACACCTATAATTATTTCACTAAACATTATTATAATTATCTCACAACACAAACACGTGTGACATGTAATAGGTCATGTATAATGCAAACCATCTGAGATTGTTGTATTTCATAAATGAATACAATAGTATGAAGTACTTCTTTAAGAGTAATTTCAAAGCAACAAATCAGTGATAAACTTTCGATTACGTGTTTTTCGTTCATTGGTATAACGATTGTTAATGACCCCTTCAAGATACTTTGTCCGTCTCCTTCTCATTGGTTACATGAAAAATGTGCAGACCTATCCAATGATTTTACAAGAGAAGGATCACGACGAGCGCAAAAAGGGTATCTAAAACATTCCAGAAATTTGGAGCAAACTATAAAAGGTAGTAAATACTTTTATAAGGCATATCGTATTAATATGTGTGGGAGCTCTTATTTGTTAAAGAGACCCTACGGCTGGCGATTGATTAATTATCAAAAAAAGTTATCGTTTCCCGGGATGAGGACCCAAGGGATGGATTTTGGGAAGCGAGTGTTCAAAATTTATCATTACGTTATTTATAACGTATACGCATGGTATGTAAATGAGTGAATGCGACTATTCTATTATTGTTCAAATTTGTACTAGGTGGTTAGTTATTGTGTGCTAGAAGGGTGGTATTAATTTTGTGCGTGTTTTAAATTATTGTGTAAAATCATCAGTTTGACAGATTAATACCTCTAAATATCAAAACGCTTTCCTTTTATTTTATAGATGCATTCTAGGCTTTCCACTAAGTGAACAATATTTTTATCACACACACCGACAATATAACCGAATCGTATTCATTATATGATTGAATTTTATGTGAATGGCGAATTTCACTTTGTCGGTTCTCTGCTACATTCTCATNTTTCCCTAATTAATATATAATACTGTACAGACGATAGCAAACTCAATTTAGCCGCCTAAACTCTCCGTAGCGTGGCGCAGGGCGGAGGAAAGTAGTTCGGCTGCTCATCCACTATTGGTCCAGATTCTACCAATCTTGTCGCGACACGAGTCGGCGACGACGTTTTAGGAGTTCCTTTATACGAATATTGTTACAATTTTTTCGCTACGTTATAGGAATTTCCGTTATAGGAACTCACGTTATAGGGGGTCGAATGTATAGAAATTTGTATTTATTTCTGTATTTAAGACTTAGCCTATGTATAATCACTGCCTCTAGATTTCACAAGAAATCGAAGAATAATGTTTTGCTCTTGTAAAAAAATGCCCTTTGATCGTCGGAATCTTCATGCTTTTCATCGATGTTATCTTTGCTCCATCAAAGGCTACTATTTTCTTGAAGACTTGAAGGGCGAAGACCCGCAAATGGCTTGTTTTTTTGTAAGTTATTCTTCAAGTTTGGGCCTGAAATCGAAATAGAAAGGAACTGCTTTTTCCTATTTTGAGTCATCCTTCTGAAACATCTAGCTTTGGCAATGGGCGATGTCGTAAGGCACTACCGGTTTGGTATTTCATGATTGCTATTGACTTGGCCCAAGAGTTAGCTTTTTCCCATCAAAATCCTGTGATCTGACACGGAATGAAAAGAAGAATCACTGGGTTCCCAATGTTTCTCCGACTCAACACTTTCACGTCATCTTGTGTTCCGCCCTTTTACACTGAGCCGTAAGACTCGATTATCTGTCTCTCCTGAAATAGGAGAGACAGATTTGTCTGCAACTGCGGGTGCTGGTTCAGAACAATATTGACAATGATTTCTGGTGGATTTTCTTGTGGCCCAGAAAGACGTTACAAATGAAAGTAGATAATCCATTCATCAATTCTAAACGTTGTTTATGCTTCTAACACAATAAAGTGCTATAAATTAAAACACTTGGCGGGTTTTCTCATCTTTATTTAGTCAACTAAATAAAGATGAGAAAACCCGCCAAGTGTCTTAATTTATAGCACTTTATTGTGTTAGAAGCATAAACAAATTGTAAAGCACGGTTTCATATCATCAAAATCTAAACGTTGTGTTACTAATTCTATGCAATCAGTTGTCCTATTATTCAGTTTTTCACGCAGAATTTTCACGTTCCTATTATCCGTATGAATATAATATAAGCTATACTCCAGACGTTAACTTAGATAAATGAATAATATATAATGTATATTCAACAGTAATGATCCAAGGACCGTGGTTTGTGATTATTTACATTCGCAAATTAGTTATGCTATAATGAATTTTGTTCGATGTACTGATTATTCAACACATTACATAATAATTGTTAAGTTATGGCAATGCAACAATTAGGCGCTCTTCCTAGAAGAAATGCCTTCCGGGAGGTCTTTTTGAAAGGTAAATGGCCTGTATTAAGGCTACAAACGTGAAGAAAACCCGGAAAACTCCACGTGGCTATCCCGTCCAGACGAGGGGCGAACCCACGACCGAATTCCCAGTTTTTAGGGAACGGAACCGCTTTGCAATTGGAAGACCTCTGCAGATGTGACAAATGATAGGTTTAATCACCAAATAATCACCGAAATTTAACATCATAACGCTCCTTATACACAAGCTACCACGCCAAGTATTGTTCCTTAATCGTAATTCACCCCGAGAAATTAAAAATAAACAATTAAATAAATAAAAAAAACAACACGTTGTCACGTAAATTTTCAAAGTTGAATTACTATAACACATTGTTATCCGGCTGCAGAATAGTCAATTAAAGAGGGTGGGAAATACTAATTCACAACAATTTCCCCAAAATTAAGTCATAAAGTGAACCACTGTTTATATTTTAATATACTTTATTTAAATCAATTTTTAAAAAATCAATAAAATAATTTACACTATCGAATACGCTTTTTTACAGTAACTACTACATTTTTTCTGTGTTGACTTTTATAACTTTTTAACCAGTTTACAATATCATTGGCCCGCTTGATGACTACATAAAAGGTTACCGAGTGCATCGAAACTAATAATAAACTATACGGATGATCCCAGCTTAGTTCTGTACTAGGAGGGAAATATGTTATCCTATAAATGAAAAATTCATATTATAGACACACACAGAATATTAATTAATAAATCATTCAAAATACTACTTACAATATCAATTCTGATAATGCTAAATAGAAGAGCGAAAATGAAAAGAAGAAGAATAGAACGAGCAGTGATACTTTACGATGAGGTACAGATTGAAAATTTCTAGCAAATGACGGGAAATAATACAATACAATTAAGCATACGGAGAGCTGCAAGTAATCATAACTTATTTATTAAATTATCATTACGTTATAAATCATAATTAAAGTATAATTATTGAAGACCTTACCATATTAGGGACTATACCAAAGAAACGTGCAATGAGAAATATTAAAAAAATTAAATACACTTTTAAAAATTCTTTCCTATAAATCATTTTATATACAGTAATATAATATTAAAAGTTTAAAAATAAAGATTTAGAAAGAACTTACTTCATGCATTTATAATATTCCCTTTCACCTACACGTTAATGATTGATACAACGATATGCAAATTAGAATTTTATATTCTGATTTATTTTAATTGTGTTTTTAAATTAATTTTAATAAAAATTAATAGAATTTATTTTAAATACTTAAGAAACTTTTATTATTTAGACTGGCCACTATAAATCAGTAAAACTTCTTACACATATTAACACAATTATAACATAATCTTTAAGTTAAATAATAGCAAAGGTAATTCTACTAATTAATTTATATTAATATATTATATTATAATAATGTAAGGACGGATAATCAATGGCTAAGTGGCTATCAGTCTTACCAGTTTTATATAGGCTCTACATATCAGTCTGTGGTTATTTATAAATAATTTAATTATTATTGTTAGTAAAGTAGTGAGTAAGAAATTAGTAGTAGTCTAGTAGTTAGTTATTATTATCACAATCATGAATCAAGTACTACATTCATATCATCATATATCAAAGATACTGATACTTATTAATTTAATTAACTATTTAACTAACTAGTTAGTCTCAGTTTCTTACTAATTTTCACAATAAAATTGTCTAGCCTAGCTCACTAACCACTTATAGAATAAAAGTTAAAAAGTCTTACTTAATAGAATTAGAGTAGAAGTTATAAAATATTAGTCTTGTCTTGAATAAAGTATTTTAAAAAGGATCAAATAAAATTAAATCAATCAGTTCTGTTATTATTATTATTTTTTTGACTTTTCTAAAAGTAGGATCTCAAGAAACAAATGATATTGATGGTGTTGTCTCCCAACCTACTTCTTAATGAACTGCATGTATATCCCTCCCTATATAAGGCCTTTTCTGCCTCTACACTAGTTGGTTTCAGTGTTATCAAATAATGATAAATCAAAGATAAGTTTTCACCTCTGACTTCCCCACTTTCATAAACAGCCATTTCCTTTTTTAATAACTTATCATAATCCTTCTCAGTACTAATTTCTTTCCGTTTCATGAAGTTTTCTTTCTCACGCTTTAGTTGCATCTCTAATTCTTGTTCCAATGTGAAATTCGGGAAATCCGGGTTATCTGGATCATCGTTTTCCACCTCCGTAATATCCTCTGCCATTGCTGCTGGTTCCACTACATATGTATTTACATGATTCAGCATAT